GCATGAAAAGCGTCTTCACTGAATAAAAGTCGTAAAATATAAACGCATGAATTCTCTTTAATTTTCGCGGAATAATACGTCTGACTTCGAAACTATCATAAAAAGAACACTGTCTTCGACTCCGGAAAAGCCAATAAAATAATAAAATTGTCTATAAATTTCTCTTTATTATTTCACAAAATAATAAATAATAATGAACAAATTATGCGTCTGACTTCGAAATAAAAATAATTTCGCATGAAAAGTCCACGTCTTCAGCGAGCCGGATAAGAGCCAGATAAAATAATAAAATTGTCTATAATTTCTCTTTTAATTATTTCACAAAATAAATAAAATGAACAAAGGTCTGACCGAAAATAAAAGAATTTCGCATGAAAGATAACACTGTCTTCAGACGGAGCCGGATAAGAGAGATAAAATAATAAAATTGTCTATGAATTTCTCTTTTAATTATTTCACAAAATAAATAAATAATGAACAATTATGCGTCTGACTTCCGAAAATAAAAATAATTTCGCATAAAAAGCTAACACTGTCTTCGGGTCCTAAGCGCGCGCGGAGTCATGTCGTGCGTGAAAAATTCGAGCATGGAATTCCGACGGTGACCAACGAGATGAGATGCGCTCGCGCTTCGTGTGAAGATTCCGTATCGTCGTATCCCGAGGTCACGAGGTACATCGCGAGAGCATTGACATTACTGTACCGTACCGAGGGACTCGCGCATGTTTAATACAGTTGTGACAATCCCTCGCCGAAGCGCGCGCTCACAATGAAACCTCGTGAGACGCGAACGCGGAGATTGGTCGGAAGTGCGCGGATCCATCATCCCTCCCCCCCCCTCCCTTATCTAAACCGTGCCCTTTATCTCGACTCGGAAAATGAACAGCGATAAAATTTCGCGAAACCTTCGCGTATTACGTCCTAGCCGGGCAATTAACTCGCTACCTGATTAATAGGCAGAACCTGTCAAACTTTCGCGACGAGAGAACGAGAGTGGGCATCAAAGTTACGAAAGGGAGAAAAGGGCCCACCTCGACGCCGAGAAAGGAAAAGAAAGAGAGAGAGAGAGACGAGCATCCACGGTGCGGTCAGCGAGCGCGAGGTGATCTGACCCTTCGTTTTTTCCTTTTTTTTTTTTTTTCGCTTCGTTTGACGACGGCACTCAAGCTACTCCGTGGGGCCCTCCGAGGGTCCGGCGTGGGCGAAGCTTGCGCGGAGTATATTAAGACGGAGGAGAGGAAGGGGTGACGAGTTGCCCGCGGGCGTCCGTATAGAACACCACCTATAATATTATTTAGTCTGCCCGATGCCTCTCTTGTTCGACCCTCTTTTCTCTCTCTCTCTCTTTTCCTCCTTACCGACCCTTTTCTAATTTTTTCTCATTTCCTCGGAAGACTCTCTCTATCTCTCTCTCTTGGAAGTCGCCCTTTTTTTCCTCATCTCAACGCGCGGAATGTCTTTCTTTCTCCCTCGCTTTCGTGCGCCCCGAAAACCGAAGAGGCGAAAACTATAGGCGCTATAACGGCTTTAATCGAATGCATTAATCTCGTAAATTTGATTTATTGATTGGAAGTGAAAGATTTAATGCGGAGTCGGAAACGAGGCGCATCAATATTGCGGGATGAATATTGTCCCGATTTTTTTTTTTTTTTTTTTTTTTTTTTTTTCGTTTGACGATAATTTTGAATTAACGGAAAATCTACGAAGTTGATTTAGATATTGGAACGTGAAAGATTAATGCGAGAAAAAAAACGTATTAAATAATTGCGGATGAATATTGTACGCAATGTTAAAAATAAATTTTCGAAAACTTTATATGGATGATAATATTTTGAATTGAACGGAAAATCTACGTCTTTGATTTATTGATTGGAACGTGAAAGATTTAATGCGAGAAAAAAACGTGGAATAAATAATTGCGGATGAATATTGTACGCGATGTTAAAAATAAATTTTCGAAAACTCCATATGGATTGATAATATTTTTAATTGAACGGAAAATCTACGTCTTTGATTTATTGATTGGAACGTGAAAGATTTAATGCGAGAAAAAAACGTGGAATTAATAATTGCGGATGAATATTGTACGCAATGTTAAAAATAAATTTTCGAAAACTCCATATGGATTGATAATATTTTTAATTGAACGGAAAATCTACGTCTTTGATTTATTGATTGGAACGTGAAAGATTTAATGCGAGAAAAAAACGCGGAATAAATAATTGCGGATGAATATTGTACGCAATGTTAAAAATAAATTTTCGAAAATTTTATATGGATCGATAATATTTTTAATTGAATGGAAAATCTACGTCTTTGATTTATTGATTGGAACGTGAAAGATTTAATGCGAGAAAAAAACGTGGAATAAATAATTATCTATATAACATTCGATTTATAATTTCTCATTAGTTGAATAATCTTTAGTAATTTGATGGATTTCTCTATCGAGTATCTTTATTATGATGAAATATTTCTTTCAGAAGAGAGAACTCTATGAATCGATTAGCAAATTCATTAATTTATATGACTGTTAAGGATAACATGAAAAATACGTAACATAAATTATATTTTATGTACTTACTGTAATTATCTGTATAAAAATTTTAAGAAGACTAGAAAAAGAAAAATTGTATATCAAATATTTTGATATTTATATTTATATAAGAATATGAATCTGTATATTATATTTCTTATAGTTTTATTTAATTTCTTTCTGTCTCTTTTTATTAATCATTATTTAACAAATTAAACAATAGACTCATAAAATTTAATAATAATATTTTTGTGTAATTATATTTTTTAGATAATTATAATATATAGATATTTTAACAATTTATTATACACAAAGTGATATAATACATTGTACCTTCTTAACACTTTTTCATTGTCAATTGTCTTCCATAAATTATATTTGTGTAAAGTGAAGTTAGAAAAATTGTAAGGTACAATAAAAAGATATAAATGATAATTCAAATTGCAGAAATACTTTATAAGACGAATGGCGAAACTGCTCATGCATAATGAAGATTAAGTATATCCAATTTATGAATTATATATCGTTATCTGTGCATTTTTCTACATATACACATATGCACACATAATGATGGATATATATTCCAAAGATAATTATTTAGTCTAATTTATTCGAATCTTATTCATTTAAGACAATAGATTTGTGAAATATAATATAATATTTATCAGTAATATCTTTATATATTTTCAACTTTTATTATTTTTAAATATTATTCCACAAAAATAAATTCCAATATCAAGTAATTTATACAAATAAGCAATAAGCAAATAAGATTTCTCTGTATTTGTTTTTGCATTATGAATGCAAATTTTTTGCATCTCGGAAAAATCAATCTGTCCCGTATTTGTAAGTTAAAGACTTTATATGTTAATGATTTCGGAAATTGAGGCAATTGATATATCGAATATATTTTCTCTCTTGCATTTTTTGCATGGAATAGATATTATTAAATTTGCAAAACGCGGCTATTAATTATATGATAAAAATATTAGTACCTTATTAAAGAAAATTTAAGAAAATATTAGAGAAAGCAAATAAATTTTCTTAGGTTTCGAGTGTAGAATTGAGTTCCTAAAATATTACACTTCAATTCTAAATCTTTATAGATTTCTCAATCGAAATCCATAGTTCAACTTTTGGAGAAAATCTGGCTAGATCTCTCCGCATCGTTAATAATTTGCCCCTCGTAAAATGCATAATGCAATTAAAAATTATTAAACTAAGTATAGAACTAATTACCGCGAAAACCGTAAGATTGTTTCTCTATTCTTATTTTATATATCATTTTGTCTTATATAGGAATTAGTTTTTTTTTTAGATATAAAGAGATGGTTAAAGGTGATATTTTTTTAAATTCTCTCTTTCTCTCTCCATATAAAAATAATAAAAACATTTAAAAAAAACTAAATTATTATTCCTCGCATAAAATTATCTTTGCAATATAGGCAAAATTTTTATAGAACTTGTTAATATTTTAAGAAATATAATATTTAATAATCTATAGTATATAAAATCTCAATTTTACAATTTGAATGTCTATATTAGATAAGTCAATTATTTCTTTATCCCGAATCAGCTGTTCTCGCATGTATTCACATCTCGCATGATATTTATATCTAAAAATATTCACTATAAATACATATATTGTACATACACATTAATAAAAACCTATTAAATTCAAATAAATATTTCAATACTTCCCTTTACACACTCGTTTGAAACGAATAAATATTTATCTGCTTTGGAAAAGGATTTCTTTTATACGAAATAAATATTTTCTCACGACAAATCAATATTAGATAAGTCAATTATTTCTTTATCCCGAATCAGCTGTTCTCGCATGTATTCATATCTCGCATGATATTTATATCTAAAATTATTCACTATAAATACATATACATACACATTAAAAAAACCTATTAAATTCAAATAAATATTTCAATACTTCCCTTCACACACTCGTTTGAAACAAATAAATATTTATCTGCTTTGGAAAAGGATTTCTTTTATACGAAATAAATATTTTCTCACGACAAATCCATATTACTATACATAGCTTTAAATATGGTAAATAATGTATAAACGGGTACCGAAATAAATATTTATTCGAATAATTAAAAATAATTTTCTTTCAGTGTACAAACACATAAATATACACATGTATAAATATATCTCTATAATACATATTAATATTACACATATAAAATGCGATTCGAGGCGATTCGCGAAGCGCGCATTCGCTCGCGGGTTAAACAGCTGTTGACCCCCGCGATCGCGATCGCGATCCAACAGTTTCCGGATTCCCTCCCCGCGGGACGCACGCGCGTGCGTCGCGGCACGCAAACCTGCACCCAACGTCAGAAGAGACCCCATGCGAGCCCGGGTCCGCGAAGCGTCGTCGCATGACGGGGCCGGCGAACGATACCGCGCGCGGGCCAGCTGTGACCGGGCCTCTCTCTCTCTCCTCCCGCGAACGGGCCCATTCTACATCTCGGATACCTGCCACCAGGTGTCTCCACCAGCAGCGCCCAGCAGCGACGGGCTGGGACAGTCTTCGGGGCGCTTTCGCACCGCCAGCATCGCGCGCGCGTGTCCTCTTTAACGTTACCCGTCGTTCTCCGACTTCCAAGTACACTCTTGAAGGATCTTCTCTCCAAGGAACTCGTCTCGCCGGCGAGAACATGTGATCGTGCGTCCAGGAGTGTCTCTGAAATCCATCACCGATCACACCTTGCCAATGATACCAGCGGGACTCGCGTTCCAGAGGCTAATCCGGGACGGTCCCAACGCCGGTGGAGGATGCAGCAGCAGAACGAGCGACAGCAGGAACAGGAACCACGGAGACTCGTAATGGTCCCCTCGTCCTCGTCCTCGACCTCGTCGTCGTCCTCCTCGTCGGCGACCCTCGCGACGGATCCGCGCGAGGCCGACGACCACGTGACGGAGGAGCTCGACGGCGCCCTCGTGACTTCCGAGCTGCCAAATCTCGCGTTTCAGAGCGTCGCTCTGCGACTCCAGAGCGTCGCTTTGCTCTCCGCTCTTCAACGAGCGGCTCTTCTACCCCCAGGACACGCGGCCGCGGCCGCCCTGAACCTCCAGGCCCTGGAGACGTACCTGACCCTTCATCGTCTTCACGCGAGCGGCGCGACTTCCAGTCAAAGGTGCTCCTCGTCCTCGAGTATCCTGACCTCGTCGACGACTGTCAAGGACGACGCGCCGACGGTGGACCAGCTGCTCCGAGCGGCCGAGGACGATGAGGCCCGGCTGGAGTTCGTGACAGATGACAATCTGGCCTTGGCGCTGCTCTCGCCGGAGTTCCTCACGAGCGAGACGAATTCCGGTTGCTCGACGTCCTCGGGACACCACGACTTGCTCCTGCGACGAATATCCGAGGGGAATAATAATCGTGCGAGCGCCACCGCGACGACGTCGGTCTCGCGTTCCTCGTCCACGAGCAACGTCGTTCTCCCGGCATCCTCGTCGACCTCCTCGTCGGCCTGCTCCTCGTCCTCGTCGTCCTCGTCCTCTACCTCGTCCACGACGCAGCATCATCAGACCTCGGTCGCGGTGGATTCGAGTGTACCGAGGACTTGCCGGACCTCCAGGCCCAAGAAACAGTTCATTTGTAAGTTCTGCAGCCGCCAGTTCACCAAGAGCTATAATCTGCTGATTCACGAGAGGACGCACACCGACGAGCGCCCGTATTCCTGCGACATTTGCGGCAAGGCCTTCCGACGGCAGGATCATCTCAGAGATCACAGGTGAACGTCGCCGAGCATCTTTTTACGGTCTTTATTTTTTTTTTTTATGAATGTGTTTTATATTTTTTGAACATTTTTTGCGCGATTCACGTCCATTGTGTGAAAAATAGATTATTAATGAGGTACAAATTGATGAGTTTTCCTCGGTCTTGGTGCTACTGCAAAAAGTTTTGTTTGAATTTTATTTCTATCTTTTTTTTTTTTTACCAATTTATTAGAGTCATTATTGTATGTTGACTTTTTTACGCAAATAATATTTTGCTATAATAAATAGTAATGATTTAATACACTGGAAAGAATTTTTGTTAACTTGACTAAACCTTTCAACTAAATCACTATTTTGTTAATTGAACATATATATTAGTATTAAAGTAGAGTATATGCAAATCGAATTAGAAAAGGAAATTAAATATAGGTATGCGTTTTCTTAGACTTAATGTACACATATTATATTTATAATTTAAATATTTTTACATGTTTAATTACCAAAATAATATATAATTGAAAGATTTAGTCGAGTCAACAAAGTTTTTCAGTGTAGAATAAATTATAATATTATTTATTATAATGATATTGCAATATTAAAATTTATACAAGTTTTGATTTATTGTATTCATTATTATATATACATTACATTGACACTTGCAAAATATAATATGTTAAATATAATAAATTACAATAATAAATAACAAATTAATAATATACACGAGCATTTATGACAATAACATTGAAATACTAAAAGATGTTTTACATTTGCATTTGTGTGAATCATGCGAGATATTATTAATCGATTAAAATAATAGTTTCGAATTCTCATTCAGAGAAGAAAATAAATGTTGCGACGACACTTTACGTAAGGAAATTGAGTTGACCGTTAGTGCGTAAAAGAGTTTCGATGGCGGTTTACGCGAATATACGTGAGATTACTTATCGAATTCATTTTCCTTCGTGCGATGGAGAGAAGATTTAAAGACCGCCGCGTGTATTTATCTCTTTATCGCGTCGCAATTAATTACACGCACCGCGGTGTGCGATTTACGAACACGGACAAATCCGCCTTCTCCACCTCGCGTAATTACGACGATGATCGAATGACGTGTATATTACATTTTAATGCACAACATGTCACAATACATTCATTCATTTTTCATATATCAGTCACGATTTTTTTTTCAGCTTTTGTTATTAATAGCGCGCGTTGTATTTTTTCGTACTATTTTTTTTTTTTTACGATTATTAATTTTCAAATACTAAAAAAAATTTAACAAAATAAAAGTATACTTTTATGAGAAAAATGATTTTAGAAAAAGTAAGATTTTTAATCAAAAAGAAATTTTTTTCATATATTTATTGATGATTATTTTTTTAAATGATTATTAAGTTTTGAGTATTAAAAAGAACTTTAACAAAAAAGTTGTATAATTTTATGAGAAAGAGAGATAATGTAAAAGAAAATTAGTTGTAAGATTCAAAATCACGTCTTTTTCAACCTTTGTTATTAACAACAACATATTAATGATTTTTTTAAAAACTATATTATTAATTTTCATGAAAAAACTTTACAAAATAAAACTACATTATTTTATGAGAGAGAAAGAGAGAAAGGAAATTGATCGCAAAATGATTTTCGCAAACCAAAAAGAGATGTTTTTCTTTCATATCTTGTCACGACTTTTTCAAACTTCGTCATTAATAGCATCATGTACATTATACCTGATTATTATTTTTTTAACCATTATTAATTTTCGGGTATGACAAAACTTAACGACATAATAGCTGCATTATTTTCTAAGAGTGAGAAAGAAGGAAACTAGTCGCAAGATGATTTTCGCAAATCTGAAAAGAGAATGTTCTTCTTTCATCTCTTATCATGACTTTTGTGATTAATAGCGTTGTGTATTTGATGATTATTTTTTTAGACCATCATTAATTTTTGAGCATGATAAAACTTAACGAAATAAAAGGTGTATTATTTTCTGCACTAAAAAAAATTGTTAACTTGACTAAACCTTTCAATTAAATATTATTTTGTTAATCGAATATATATATATATATATATATATATATATATATGTAAATTAAATATGACATTAAATCTTACAAAACGTATATTTGACTTAAATACTAATATATTTAATTAACAAAATACTAATTTAGTTGAAGGGTTTAGCCAAGTGAACAAACTTTTTTCAGTGAAAGCGGAAAAGAATATTTAAAAAGAAATTAGTCGCAAGATAATTTGTCTCGCAAATCGAAAAAAGCGTTTTCAAGTAACAAAAACACTGAAAAAAAATTATTAAATTAATAAATCTTTATTTCAAAATACTGTCTAATAAATTATTTACGCGAAACAAATAAATATTTATTTGTTTTTGAAAAGGATTTTGTTCTATCAAACAAATATTTTTCAACCAATATTATTAGTTCCAAATAAATGATGCGACTTGACAGTATTGAAATAAATACTTATTCGAATTGAATAAATATTTTTTTCAGAAACGTCAAACGTCAAAATGACGCGTACGCTTGCAATCTGGATTTTCTTTTCCACGTTGCAGGTATATACACAGCAAGGAGAAGCCGTTCAAATGCACCGAGTGCGGCAAAGGATTCTGTCAGAGCAGGACGCTGGCTGTCCACAAGATTTTGCACATGGAGGAATCCCCGCACAAATGCCCGGTCTGCGCCAGGAGCTTTAATCAGAGGAGCAACCTGAAGACCCATCTTCTCACGCACACGGACATCAAGCCGTATCATTGCGCCTCCTGCGGCAAGGTCTTTCGCAGGAATTGCGATCTGAGGAGACACTCGTTGACCCACAATCTCGGAGTACCGTCGTCCCCACCGTCGGACATGCCAGTTTCCGGTTCGAGTACCATCGTCCTTCAGGAAACGTCATAATGTGCCGATTCTATTTTTTTTCTATTTTTTTTTTTTTTAACGACTCGAGACACAACCGTCCATATCGCGGCGCGTTTTATTCTGATGAGAATCATGGATATTCGGATTAATTAATTAATCGTAAGAACGCACGTCGCGATAATTCGATTTCGATCTCTTGCTCGTTTCGCAATTTGTATGTCTACCTGTCTTTGCATTTATCTATCATCTCGTTAATGTTTAGAGCGTAATTGTTATGTATGTACATCACGATAAGGTCGATATATCGGAGATATTTGTGCACGTTTAGATCTGTAATTGTGTTCTATAGGCACTATGCAATACTCTGACAATAACGAAGGAGGAATGTTTTTTTTTTTTTTTTTTTTCTTAAACTGTGTACCTACCGTAACGTGTCCGTTGTGTTTTGTCTGTACGTGTGTGTAAAATAAACATTTATTATTATTTTTTAACTCGGAGTCTCGTCTACACCCTCATTTATTCTCTCTTTTTCTCGAATCAAATCTAATTCAAAGTGTTCGATTTCCATAAATGACGATCCTATACATATATTTAAGATTTTCTATAATTTTAAAAATTAAAAGATATTATATGTCAAACTCTTTACTTATTTTTTCCGCAAAATATTCACCAGTCAATAAAATTATTTATTTTTTGAAAATATGATTCTAAAAAATATTCCAAAAATATTTTTTACAGACAAATAATTCTACAATAAAATAAATAATATTTTTAATAAACAAAAATACATATTAGTAAAAAGTACGGGGCACGCGCCCAATTGAACGCGCGTGAATATATAAGAGACTGACATTTTTTGTAAGCCGACTAAGTCCTCCCTAGGTGTTATATAGTACTCTTCGCACAGGCTTAGTTAGCCCGAGAGTACGTTCGGCCCGACCGAATTCCGATCTCTCTGGTATTAAACCAGGAGGATCTCTCTTTTTCGCCTCCTCCTTTTTTATCCGTTCCGCATATCCGAGCTAGGATATAAGCCGATGACGGGCCGGAGAGAAGAAGAAGAAGAAGAGAAGAGACAAAAGGCCGGAGAGAAGTTAAAGAGAAGGAGGAAAAAGAGGAAGATGAGGAGGAGTAGAAGAGGACGAAACGCGACGTGTATTGTGTTACAAAGAACGGGGCCGCCAGGTGCGCAGGACATGACACCGCGATACGTCTAGAGTTACGTTTCTCTTCTCGAAGATAGGTGCCAGAGAGAGAGAGGTGCCTCCTCCTTCATTCTTGACGACGCTATTTCAGGGATCTATCCCGGTCCTCTCATCTCGGTGTGTCGATAACGAGAATCTCGCACCGTCCCATCTCCAAAAAAGGCGCCCTAACGTATGTATCTTAACCCTTCTGTCAATTCTCTTAATTCCTTTAAAAATAAAGGAAAGAGGGTTCGATGCTCAGCAGCTGCTATAAAAATTGTCGCGGTGCAACGTATCGAAAACATGCGATTGGTATCCATATATTAAGGAAAAGATCCATTTTATCTCGAAAAAAAGGCTCTTTCTATGTATTTTCTTAATATTTAAAAAATAAAAAAAAAATGTTTAATGCCCAGCAGCTGCTATAAAAATTATCATATATAGTGCAACGTGTCGAAAACATGCGATTAGAATAAGTCATTCATTGATGGAAAATTTATTTAATCTCGAAAAAGGCGCTCTTAAATCTTTCTATCAATTTCCTTGATAAAAAATAAGTCGAAAAGCGATCCCTCGAAAAGCGCGCGCGGTGCAACGTATCGAAAACATGCGATTGGTATCCATATATTAAGGAAACGATCCATTTTATCTCGAAAAAAAGGGCTCTTTCTGTATTTTCTTAATTTTTAAAAAATAAAAAAAAGAATGTTTAATGCCCAGCAGCTGCTATAAAAAATTATCATATATAGTGCAACGTGTCGAAAACATGCGATTAGAATAAGTCATTCATTGATGGAAAAATTTATTTAATCTCGAAAAAAGGCGCTCTTAAATCTTTCTATCAATTTCCTTGATTTTTGAAAAATAAAAAAAGAATGTTTAATGCCCAGCTATTATAAAAAATTGTCGCGGTGCAACATGTCGAAAACACGCGATTGGAAGATATATTGATAAAAAGATCCATAAGATTTTTAATCTTAAAAAAAGGCGCTCTTAATCTTTCTGTCAATTTTCTAAATTTTTAAAAAATATAAGAGAAAATGTTCGATGCCTAACAGATGTTATAAAAATTTGTCGCGGTGCAACGTGTCGAAAACACGCAATTGAAACGCGTACATTGAAAATCTAAAGTTGTGTTTCATAAAAATCTTTTTTTCTAAAAATAGCACACAAAAATTTACAATGCGTATTTTCTCGCCTTTGATGTCGCGAATTTAACATGACCATGATGAAAATCAAAGAGTCTTAAAACATAAAAGAATGTTCGCTGCCCTATAAGTATTATAAAAATATTATTACAATGTCCTCACTAACCTGTCAAAAGTACGCGATTTGGATTTGGATTTTAAAGGAAAGAGAAAAAAAATGTGCATTGACACAGAAGGATTAAAGTATATGCATGTAAAGCTGAAGTCTCTTGGGATTTCAAACTTTCATAAATTTTTGCTGTCGGATTTTATTTTGTGGTTCGTCGTTTTAGCGCAAAACCCTAAATCTAGTCGTATTCACGGCATCGCCATCAAAAAGAAAGAGACGAAAAAAGACAGACTCTACCAGAAAGGTGATTTGTTTTGGATGACATTGGATCAATGCGTCAAGAGGAAAGTGTCGAACTTTCGTTACCGAATTCGGAAGCTTCACAATTTCTCGCCATTCATTCGAATATGAATCTTGTTAAAGCGATAATCTTAGAGTATGCACATTTGACTTGGCGCAAATCCTCAGATTATCCAATATTATCCCGACAATGAATTCTATAGAATAGAGAGGATATAGGATAAATATATTTTTCTAAGATTTTTCTCTCGAATTCTTCATGGCGGAATTCGACAGGCGGATTTTATGACACATTTACTTTATATTTTATATAGTATTAGAAGCTGCTTTCTCCATCACTGCATTTAGAAAAACTAACTTAAATTTTTTCATTAAATAGGACGAGGTGCTTGAAAATTTGATGGGAAAAATAAAACTTTATGTGAAACAACCTGTATATGCACTGAAAAAAATTTGTTAAATTAACAAATATTTAGTTCAATATGTTCAAAAATAAATCATTTATTTGAAACGAATAAATATTTATTTGTTTTGAAAAGGATTTTCTTATATCAAATAAATATTAGTTTCAAATAAATGATTTATTTAAACGTATTGAACTAAATACTTACAAGAATTAAAACAATTTTTTTCAGTGTGGTTGAAAATATAATAACAACGTTATGTTAAATTCAACGAAAGATTTAATATCAAGGCGATATTAAATATTAACTGTACGATAAGATCTAAGCCAAATCGTAAATTACTCGCTCGCTATTTAAGCCTAATTATTATGCGTCCATAAGATATCGGAGATCATTTTAAAAGTACTCGCACTATAATTTCCGCACCAGCTGATGTGTATTATCCTATTCTCTTTCATTACCCGAGAAACTTCGCGCCTGGGAAAATTATAGAATTTAACGCTTATATAATTATACAGAGTGTATATAAGAAAATGCGTAGGTGGCGTATCCTTAATTAGGACGACCGTACCATAATGAACATCGAAGTCTACTCGTGGCACTTTTCCGACCGTTAAATCTAATCGAAGTGTACGACATATAATGCTGTATAATAAATAATAAAATATGAAATAACGTAACGCGTATAAATAATTATGTGTAATTTGGATAAGTGCACAGAGAGAATTTTCTCTGAAAATCATGGTAATCTTGGGGCAATATAGTATTGGAAGAATTTTGTTAGAGTTTCTATGATTAATCAAAGTTATTGAGATTAGTATTACATAGTAAAATTAATCAAACATGTTTATATCTTATTGTGGTAAATACAAATATAATATAATATTCTTCCAATATCATATATTGTCCCATCATTACAATCATTTTCAGGGTAAATTTCAAGATAAAATTGTGTGAAGTAAAAATCAAAGAAGCGAGAAGGGATGACGGAAAGCGGTGGTGAAGTTGGCAAGACGTTTCATGAATTAAAAAAAAATACAAAGAGTTTTAGCAGCACTATTCATAGTTCTACAGCTCCTGAAAAAAATTAAAGTTCCGCATAAAATAGGATTTTCGTAAATGTTTTAAATTTTTCTTTTTAATTGAAAAAACGAATAAACGAATGTGATGTGCTGGTTAATTTTTAAGACCGATATCGATCTATCTATGCTTAAAGTCTTACTCGATCTTATAGAAATGTTGCGTATTAAGCTGAGACTCTGACTCCTCACTTTCAAAAAATTAATCATTTAATACAGAAAATGATAGTATTTCGTTTTTAGTTGTTTGTAATAACAGTAATTTCGTTTGTAGACAATAAAAAATGATCAGCACTTGACTTTAAGTTATCTCAAATTCCATTGCGCAGTCTTCCTTAGAATAGTTTGTAGATGTTTGTAACAATTTTCGTTTCGTTTGTATAGTTGCACGATTTAGAAATTGTAATTGTTTAAAAAAATAGTTTAAAAAAAGTGATTTTGGTCAATTTTGAAGATTTTTTAAATCTGCTTTTTAATTTTTATTTTAAACTGTGAAATGTGAAAAGCACTACTAGAACTCTTATTGTTAGTATTTTTTAATTCGTAGAAGAACTGCACACTGAAAAAAATTACCAAATTAATACATATTTAGTTCAATACTGCCAAATGAATCATTAATTTGAAACAAATAAATATTTATTTGTTTCGAAAGGGATCTTCTTATATCAAATAAATATTTTTCATATGAAATAAATATTATTAGTTTGAAATAAAAATAATTCATTTGGCGGTATTGAAATAAATACTTATAAGAATGAAATAAATTTTTTTTCAACGCGCAGACACCCGAAAGCGTTTGGTGACGATACCGAATGGAGCAAGCAGAGGGGAATAAATCTTGGAGGAAGAGGGAGGAAGAGAAAGAGGGAGGCTAAAGGGACATAGAAGGACCACACGCATGCGCCGCCCACAGATACGCTATCACTTGGCTACAAACCCGACGTGATCTGCATGCGCGTGTCTCCTCTTCGTCACGGAGCGGGAAAAAAATGGAAAAAGTCGAGGGAGTGAGAGAACGGGAAAGAAGGAAGAGAAAAGAAGCATATTCTCTCTTGTGTTTTTCTCCTCTTTCATCCCTTCGATCTATCCACTGATTTAAGGAGTCGACAAAGCGACGATTTCATGCTTTCGCTCTATCCTTTTATTTTTTTTTTTCCACCCTCACATGTTGCGACTCGCGGATAAATTGGATCCGAGAGAGATGAGAGACTTTTCACACCGCGATTTTCGTACATTTACTTTTTGTTTATAATTTTTCATAGAA